GCTATTAAAAAAAATACTGCAGGAAGATAGACATTCATGATATTTACATGCTATCACAGCATATCTAGCATGTAGTAAGTCTTCGTGCTTGCGCATTACTTTTACAAGATTATTACAATAATATTAATGTATCGATCAATGTACTACAAAACAACTCATCATGATTTGTATCAAATTTGCACATTAGAAGAGCACCTTTGCTAGTCACCCCTTTAGAAACGCCACTGCATTTCTGTAAGAAACAGCTAGACCAATCCACTGGTAATTTAAGAAGCCAAAAAAACAAGCAAAAACAAACTAACAAACTCCAAGCATACTAGCAGTTTTCCTTCTCTGATTACCTAAACAGGATGATGCATTTAACAAGCTTCCCAAAGATAAATCGAACCAGAAAAAAAAGGGTTTTCTATATTACATTAAGAACACCTGAGGTTGCTTCACTGGTCCAAGTGCAGTATTTTAATACATAAACTGTTTGTTTTATTTATCTGTCATTTAATTCGATTCCCTTAGTGAGCACTTCTCATTAAAAAAAAAAAAGGCAACGTAAGAGTCTTTTAAAATAAATAATGTCCCCTCAAAAAAAAAGTTTAAAAATGAAAAAATAAAAAATACAGTATTAAAGAACAGTGTGATCCTCTGGCTTTATTTTATCTCAGTTTTCAGGAGTGGATACACACTTATGGGGAATAAGTGTGAAACACTAAAAAATTCTAAGTATGTTTTTTAGACTGTACTCCTAACAGTAAAGATTATATTTAATAATTCTGCACTCTGTACATCTTGAATTTTCCTTAACAGAATAACCTAAATTGTGGAGTTAAAATATTGAATGCTGCCTAGCTAAAAAAGCAGCAAACTAAGGACTATAGACTGATGCTTCTACAGAACTAATAACTTATAAAATTGTCTCATAGCCTAAACCTTAAGTTTAAACTGTGAACAAAATTAAAATTGGCAGTTCATAGAAGGTAAGTAAGTAGGCTTGCCTCACCTTAAAACATACCTTGCTAACCAGAAAATAAAGATGGCAAGGACCAGTGTATTCTAGCCAAATTTAGACACTTTAAAAAAATGCAAAGTACATTATATTACTTTTCACCTTGGTAGCAACTAGGAGTTTACTAGTCAAAATACTCTTAACCTGCAAAAACAGAAGGTTGACCCTTCAGAAAGCCATGAATAAAAGGGTAAGAATTCTAAAGCCATTCAAAACCATGGAGAGGACCTCTATCATGAAGTCATCTGTAACCGTTGGAGTAGGTCAAAGGCATAAGTAGTTTCACTGATTGCAAGTCCATTGATCTTTCAGTTTACCTTCCTCAGAAGTAATTGAACTGAAGGTGATTTTCATTTTAAACTTCACAGATTACATTAATTTTTCCTGTGCACTTTCTCTGTTGCTAAAACAATTCTTCATTTTAAAGCTGGTTTAGTATTCAAGCTGCTTTCTTAGAGCAGGTTCCTTGAAGGTCTTGCAGATTCATTTTTGACCTAACAAAAACAGTAAGATGACCACATTACATAGCTAAAGTGATATGTTACTATCATATTTTACAATTGTTAATGTAATTATTATGGAATCTTCAACTATGAATGAAAAAAGGGGGGGAAGCAACAGAGAAAAACAGATTTTTGCATTTACCTATTGTGGATCATGTGGCTTTTGACTAAATGCCCAGCTGCAAGAGCTGCCATTAGTGAGAGTTCCCCTGCCATCACCGTAGCACACACAATCCTGGCAAGCTGACGGGCATTCTCACCAGGATTATCTTGACTTGCACCTTGAACCCCTAGCATCTGAAGGGAAAAATTAAACTATTATAAATCTATTGTACATTTAGGCTAAATATAACTTCTACCAAATTATAACCGATTGACAAGCTTTATACTTCTTCAATAGTAAGTATATTAAGCTTTAAAAATTAGATCTCAAGTCCACAGATTTTCTAGAGGGCCCGTTCTGACAGTATTACCTGTGCACAACGCCTACACCATGCAAAGGAGCTTTGTGAGTCTGTACCTGCAAGCAGGCCTGCTGCGGGAGCAGGTTGGTGCCTCCCCCAACAGTGCCGATCTCTATGGAGGGCATGGTGCAGCTGATGTACAGGTCCTCCTTGCTGGAGCCGGTGCGCTCCATCAGAGTGATGCAGTTAGAGCTGCCCACGTTCTGCGCAGCATCCTTTCGATTGAGGAAGAAAAACAAAAACAAAGCATTCAACTAAATGTCCAATTGAGAATTAACTGCTCTAAAAGGCTGATTTGGTACGGAGCAACTTACCTGACCACAGGCAATGTAGATGGCTGTCACAATGTTTGCTGCGTGTGCATTGCAGCCACCTATGCTACCAGCCATCGCGGAACCCACCAGGTTTTTGTTTATATTGACTTCAACTATATCTTCCGTAGTAGTCTTCAATACCTAGGCAGAGCAGTACACTTTAACTACACAGTTCCTTAGGCAGGAGTTAAAATACTCTATTTCAGGTTAATCAGGCCCCCATAGTTTACTTCATAGAATTCGACTCAGTGCCCATATCTACTTTTATTTTTTGGTCAAAAGAAACTTTCAGATGCAGAGCACCTATGAAGTAACAACAGAAGAGTCAGTGCTGGGGGTTTGGACTTGTACAGGCCTCTGAGGAAAAATTAATCAACTTCCTTCTGTCGCCTTTTAGAACACTCATTTATCTTCAGTATAAAATGTATAAGCAGTTTGGTAAAAACAAAGATGACAAAAACTTGCACAAGGATCTACAATACTGATGAAGATAGAAAGTAATATAGAGTTGAATACAGATAGATGTAGTCATATACATGTTTGAGGGCAGACGGAAGTCTAAAGTTACTAAAACTATGATGGGCTCCTCACTATTAATCTGGAATGAAAATCTGGGGTTTTAACAGATACTGTTCTTAGCACTTTTCTGAAGTACTAGTTATAAAGGTCAATAGTTAAAAATTAATCGAAAACAAATTCAGAAAACATAATTGTGCCAGTGTATAAATCTAGGCTCCAGACACCCTTTGAATACTGTATCCAACTGCCTCCAGATTTTGGAAATAATATGCTAGAACTGAAAAAGATCCATGGGTAACAAACACATGCAGTATACGCTAGAATAATCTGGTTGCTGATTCCTCATACAGACACAAGCTCATTTGGATGGGGTTTTGTTAGAGAGCTGTAAAAACTTGAGATTTACAGAGAACGTAAAAAGTTGAACAACACATGAGTGGCAGCGCGTTATAGGTATGGTGTATTAACCTCCTCCCTGGATCCTGTCTCTCTTTGCCAATAATTGGAGGTGAGGTTAATAGGCAAGAAACACCATGAGCCAAACTGGCTGACACATGTAGCCAGTCCTGCCAACTCAGGGAAAAGAATCTAAGATAGCATCTACACTGCAGGATGTGTTTGCCAGGGACTAGCACTGGCAGAGCTGTAAATGCTTAATTTCATAATCTCTGGAAACTCAGGCAGTTTGGAATTAAGTGAAGCAGCTGACTATCTGCTTTTGTTGTACTAGGGAGGCACGTGAACTTTAAAGAGAATACCGGAATTGTGCAAAAGACAATAAAAGATGTTCTCAATAGAAATGGCTTATCCTACAGCAATAGTCTGAAAACAATACAACATGCGGACATCACCCCTATATGGAACATAACTTATTTCATATTTAGGAAACACAATATCAGTTTCATAAAATATATGCAATTGAAATAGAAAAAAGCAAGCACTCACTTCTCTGACCACCTTGGCTGGAATGACTGCCTCACACACAACAGACTTGCCTCTTCCCTCTATCCAGTTTATGGCAGCGGGCTTTTTGTCTGTACAGTAGTTCCCACTAATAGCTATAAGCTGAAGATCAGGAAACTTTTCATTCAAACTCGCCAGTGCTTTTTCAGTACCCTGTTAGCAGATACACAGATATCCTTAAAAAAAACAGTATCCCATTGTGGTTGTAAAACATTAATCAAGGAGAGCAGAACAGCGAGATTAGATTAAAACTTCAAACCATCAGTTACAGCCAAGAGAAGGGACAGGGTTTTGGGAAGGAATCTGAAGCAGTGAAAATGGTAGCATCATTGCTATTGTTTTAGTAATCACATGGAAATATGAGGAACAATAAATTGTAATAAATAAGTCCTTGATCCTTCCTAGTATGTCTGGCCTCTCTGGATACATTCTACATGTATCCAGAATGGGCACATACACACCTTACTGAAGGTACAACATGAGCAAAGCTAAACATGAAGGCCGTGAAAATAATTCACTTTGAATGAGGTGGGAAGGAGCTTCTGTGTATTAGGAAATTAGACAAATTTCAGCTACAGTGCCTCTGACCCATTTATGTATTTTATGTGGGTAAACTGTGCATATGAGAGGCAGTCAGACGCAGCCAATACAAGGCTTTTCCTCATCCCGAGCTGCGTCATGCCTCAGTTTCTTTCCCATGGCTGCGCTTGCTGCCACTCATCAGATTCCAATCCTTTCTTCACAAGGACTGATAAGCCCAGCAACAAATTAACTACTGCTGGAGTTTCCAAAGGAACTGAGTAAGCAGTCCTACACCACCAGGACTACCCTTAAAAAAACAAACACACAAGAAGAACTCCCACACAAAATGACTTTAACCTTTTGTCTTTCACTGTTTATAGCTTTACTTAAAAAAAAAAAAAAAAAACAGGTTAGGTCAAACAGTTTTATAATCTTATGGCACTGCAAACAGATGTGTCCTGCCTGCAAGTCCTATCTCATTCTGTCTTCACATGCCAGGCAGTCTCAGATGGGCAGTGCACAAATGTATGTTTCTTTAAAAAATTAGAAGACATAAGGAGACTGGGCCTTACTTTTGAAATCATATTCATTCCCATTGCATCCCCTGTCTTAGACTGAAAGCGGATATAAAGATTACGACCAGCCAAACTGATGAGAAGTTTTTGTAGGCGAGCAAATCTGCAAGAAAAGTGAATGAAAGCGTTCAGTTCTCAATGAGAAAAAGCTTAAACTAACTCTATGGGCGTAACAAATGCAAATTATTGCATATCATTCTCTAAACTGCCCTGTGATATCTGCACTCTTTCTTGCTCAGCATGGAAAAATAAATCTTCAGTTATGTGCACCGTTATCTCAAAAGAACTTTTGAGATGGAGTTTCGAAATGTAATGTTTTACTACTCCTCCAAGTGAACAGCCATGGACTTTAATATGGAGGGTCCTGAAGTGCTAACACAAGTTTTACCCTGTCGTACTCCCCAAAATAGCTGACTACCAACCACCAACTAAAAATGAGGCCTTTGAAAATTCTTGGATCTTGCCCTTGGAGGGCAAAAAAATAAAACATTTTATCTTCCAGAAGCCAGAGCTTTATTCATGCAAATTAAAGGCAAGGAAGAACTGGAAAATACTCTTTTTAAAGAGCAGCACAAATGACTTAGCTGAGATCCATGTATGGCCTTGAATGACACTCAGATTGGTCAGAAGCATAACCAATACGGATAACCTTCCTAAAGGCAAATAATCACAAGTCTTGGAAGAGTCTTCTGACTAAAATACACTTATCTTTAACACTATCTTACAATTCTTACCATTTCAGCTCTATGGTTTCTGAGGCCTAACATATTATTAATAATACCATCTGAAAGCTAGATTCCAGAAACTTTAAACTTCTTTTAGCATAGAAACTACTAAAAGCCTGAATAAGTCGTACATTTATTTTAAATGCTAAGACAAAATAAAAACATATAAAGTATTACTCAATTTCACTTTTTACTATGGTCCAGTCATTTACTACTTATAATCAGAAAATACTTATTATCACAGATAATAGGATATTGCAGAAAATCACAGCAACAAATGATAAAAAACCCTGCTGTTTTCTTACGTTCATGCTAAATGAGACAGCCATTTGTAACTTCTTAAGCTACAACACGCAGAATTACAAACGGGAGCATTTTAGGGTTCATGGAAGTCTTGCATCAGAAAATAAGGCCCAGGTAACCATTTTACTAACCTACTTGTGCTGTCAAAAGCTTCTTTTATTATTTTAAAACCTTCAGAGCTTTCAAGCCAAGCCTTCACTTCTGCGGCCTGGCAAGCGGTGGGCAGCCTTACAACAGGCCCTCGGGTCATCCCATCTGCTAGAATACAACTACTTGCTCCTCCACCAAGCTAAAAGTCAACACAAAAGAAGCAAGATCACCAAATCTGAATTTTAGATTTCAGGAAACCAAAACATCCTTTAAATGCTCCCAGACCCCTCAAAAAGAAATGTTAAACATTTGTTTTATATAAAGTTTTTAAGTGGGTCAAGCAATTAAACAGTTGACCTTCTTTCTAGGAGTTACTTACACATATGGCTCTACATCCTCTATTTGTGCTTGCCACAAGACATCCTTCTGTAGTTGCCATAGGAACTTGAAACTCTTTGTTATCCAAGACCAGCGGCCCTGCTACGCCTACAGGAATAGGCATATAGCCAATCACATTTTCACAGCAAGCTCCCATAACCTTACAAGAATAACAGAAAAATCATCATTAAGGTCATATGTACGATATTATAGCACAGTACACATTACATCTGTCATTACAAAGAGCTATCTTAGCAAAAACTCCCAAAATCCAAAATTTGTGCTTGCAATTTTCACAGCAGCTTTGACCAAGTTCACTCTTAACTCACAGACATTACTATGAGCAGATATTCCATGTATTTGGAAAATGTTTTTACATTGAGCTTTGCTTGTCTGCCTTCTACTCACCAAAGAGTAGTTGTAATTCCTATAAGGAAGATACTGCAAAGACGAAGGTTCAGGGAGTTTCTTAGATAACATCTGTCTACGGATGGACACCCCACGCTCCTGAGTTTCCATCAAGGTTTCCAGTTTGTATGCAGGAATGTGCTTAGCATTAACTAAGCTGATAACTTCAGCATCCGTAAGGAATTTTGCTCCCTTCTGAAAATGTAAAGGGTGTGGGGAGAAAAAGCAGAGATTCTACTGATGAAAACAATTTAAAATGTTTCCAATAGCAACATTTACTTTCACCATTATCAGACAGTATCTATGGAAGCTAACTGTCAGTGAGATTTAATAGCAGGCAAGAACGTGGCTAAAAGCCTTTCATTCAAATATCTACTAATATACACGATTTACGGTGAAGCTTGAATTACTTGGTGTGTCATGAATGACTGTAGAAACTGGCTTTGTACCCCTCTCATCTTGGGAATAAAGGGGGAAGTATTGTAACAAAGGATCATTAATTTACAATTTAAGAAAAATGAACAAATATACATTTTCTATCTGTATTTTTAAAAGGGGGGAAAAAACAATTGAGAAGCAAAAATGACTTCTAAAAGAGCAGGCTTAAAAGAGTGGTCTAGCATGCTATGCCATAATATTTACACATTCCCTCAGTTATAAAAGCTCTATAGATCTCTGAAGTAAGACATCACAATGAATAGGATCAAAATTTTTGATTTTACTCAAAAAAAGTCTATACCTCTGCATTTCCAAGTATACGAACACATTCCTCAATAGAACGTGGTTCTTTGGGTAACTCAGTTTCTTCTTCTTTTCTATTAAGAACTGCAGAAGTTTCCACAGGGTTGCAGCTGCCAACTACAAATGTAGCCCTGGCTGAAGACTCTGCTAACACAGGTTTTATGACTTCAGCTGTGTAAAAACAATTAAAATGAACTTCAGTTTACAAAAAACTTAAGATTTGGTTCTAAATAAAACAGGCTTTACAGAATTCACAGAGTTTGATATAAATATCTGGGAATAAGATTTTTAAATGCTCAAAATTACCATTTCCATCTTTGGAAATCAAGGTTTCTTCTACTGTATTAGATTTCTGGTTGTTTTTTGGTAGTCCAGATTGTTTCCTGCAACAATTCTCAGGGACCTTTTTCTGAACCATCACTGGCGATGTTATGGGATTCTTCAGAGAGAGTGTGGATTCAGTCTCTGTTTGCTCAAAGAAAATGTATTTCACAGCAAGAAGAAGGGCTAATCCAAGAGTGATTACTTGCTCAATATCCATACTGGCCATTCTGTAAATAAATAAATAAATAAATAAAATTAAAAGCAATCTCAGTGAGAGAAATTACTGAAAATATTCACTATCGAACAACCACATCAAATTCATTTAATAACCATCTCAAAATTATGAAGCAGGAAGATGCAGTTATCGTCCTTTGACAATCAGTACTACTATGGCATAAGCTAAGCTACTAAGAAGAGGGAAAAAACTAAGAGAAACACTGCTGAGTTCTCTGAAATTCTGCGGAATCACAATGTGCATTTCAGCAGAGCTGTGAGCCAATAGCATACTTGAGTTGCACATTGCCTCTTATCTTTAGAGGAAAAAAATGCACAGAAAAGGAATAATGACACAGATTATCTTTTGTTTTGTGAGAAGGGTCAGAAATTCTGCACAAATAATTAACTCCCATGCTGTCACAAAAGTCTAGTCTTTTCTGGGCTGTTCAGAAATGTGCCAGTGCTAGCGGCACAACGCATCCAGAACAGCTGGTTCCTGACCATAATCACACTGTTTTAAGAAGATTGCAAGACTGTCACACTACTGAAACACCTCTCAGAAGATGCCATCTCAGGTTATAAGATATCCTGGAGCAGCCAGAGCTGGTTTACAGCAGCACAGTACCCTAAGGCCATCACTAGCAGTGCTGGACAGTACATTCTAATGAATTAAAAATACTTCTCTGCTGTGAAGGAACCTACCGAGAAAAATAGAACTGCCACAGGGAAACATTCGGCTCAATTCTCTTGGGGGCGTTCTCATCCAGTCCCACTACGTTTTCTACAGTGCTGTTTTGAGCTGCTGGTTCTGCTATCCAGCGGCTGTGGGCGTGAACAAGAACCAAACCTAGCGACTGTGGTAAAGAACAAAACAAAACAGCAATCATTAAGTTTTCAGCTGTAACCAGACATCTTAACCTATTAAGATTAATCATTTATTTTGTACTTTAACTTCCCATGACTCAGAAGGCTAAGGTTAAAGGCCGATACTGCATGCCACTTATCAACACCATTCTCCAGCTGTAAATTCATTTACATGCTTTTGCATGTTTCATACAGAAACAAGTGTTTTACGGTCGCATGGCTTGAAACGTGTTTAATCAAAAGTTATTTGGGCAGAAAAATACCAGACAGAATAAAGCGGACCAGACAAAAATAAAGTGGAAAGAAAGATCTCCAAGAAAGATGGCGAGCCTCCACCAATTTCACAAAAACTAACAATGCATGGGAAACCCATCCTATCATGTCCTGAGTGTAGGGACAGCTACAGTATTAGCTCATCATATTTTCCTTAACTTCTTTTCTTAAAGCTTATCTTAAAGCTAGCAGCTTTGAACCAGTCCCAGCACACCCTTCCTCTTACTCAAGTAGCAAGAAGAGAAAGCTGAAGGTACTTGTACATGAAATAGGGAGGGAATTAGGGCACGTGAAGAAGCGACCAGTTGTGAGCAAAAATGGCATATGCAGGAAGACTTTAGATGCAGGTTTAGAAGATGTTAGAATTGCCACAATGAACAAGAGCACTGGGGTGCAAGGCACAAGTCTATAGGAAACAAAAGTTGTATTCACTGCACAATAACAGCTTATTCATTACATAAATACAAGTAAATGAAAAAAGCCACAAACCATAATCATTTTGACCCTCTGTGTTACAGGGTTTGGTTTATTTTCTTCTTCTTCCAGAACACGAGCAAAATGACTGAGCTGCCATATAGGACGCCCTTCACGACTCTCTCGAGAAAGCTGCAAAAACAACAATTTAAAAACAGGCCCTATTCAGCACATGTTTGAAGAAACAAACACGTCTGAAGAATACAAAAAACTTCAATTTCACATTTTTGTTTTATTATTAAGAGTGAGCCTAAGGTAGCCTTTAAGTAGTGAAAGGCCTGGACACCTGTTAGTTTGACATGTGAATAGTTCCAGAATTCACACTATTGATTTAAGTCTTTGGCAGTAGGGTAACAAGTCACTGTCCATCAGTTGCACAA